CGAAACTCGCACGTAGCAAACGGGTCACCTTTGCCTACGGGGTCCGGATCCGACCACAGCAGGTCGCACAACAGACCCTGCTCCGGAACCTCGGCCGGCTTCTTCAGGTTCTTTATTTGATCCCAGTTGGTGAGCGACTGCGACAGACCGCCATGGGTGCAAAATATGCGCTTCGCCACCAGCGCTGACACGGGAAGCAGACTGAATGCGTGCTACAATTGGCACGTGCCGCAGAAGACACACATGACGTACAGCGAATGCTTTACCTGGAACTGAATCCAAATCGATTCGTCATATTTGTTCACACATTCGTCGTAAAAACCGTATATCCGATTGATCATCGCTGTCTCGTGGTTGCCTCTCAACAGATACAGCTTGGTTGGATAGCAAAGCTTCAGTAAAAATAGTAGCGCTATTGTTTCAACGCTTCTTTCGCCTCTATCAACGTAGTCCCCTGAAACAGGCCACAGAAAGATGACGCATTTTTTCTGATGGCAGTGCTCTGGCATCCAAGCAACGACACCAGAAGTTAGCTCTTAGCGTATGGTTAGCGCTGTCGAACTGTCGCCGAAAATTACACAATTTTAAAGTAAGTGGTACAGATTTGATGTTCAAGGTGAAACGAGGAAGTCAATGTTAATGTTCTTTATTTTACTGTCACTGTTTACTGTACTCTTTGCTCAACATCATGCATCGGCCAATGCTTTGCCTCATTTTCCTTCGATGCACTCATCTGAGAAACGGATAGCCAGCCGATGACTTGCGAATAATAAGGTTAGCACGGTGTTTTCTGGTCTTTCTCTTTGATACGAAGACCTTGGAGTTGTAATTACCCTTAACGAGTCTCACAGGTGACTACCAAGTGTGACAATCAACACAAGGTGTGCAGCCAATTGCCATGCATATTATCATTTCGAGATTTCTTCGTTTGTCCTCAGCATGACCATTGCAGTTTCACTGATACGTCAGCCGCTTTAAAAATGACTTTGCCATCTGTCTATTCTTTGTGGCAGAATCTTTGAAGCGTCCCGCTTATAATAAAATGAAGAGTTTAGCGTCGGTCTCCTGCCTGTACCTCCAGCCATCGAATCCGTACTAATTATCTGGAAGAAAACGCATGACTAATATACGTATTCGAAATTGTCTATCCAGCTTTACAGGGAGTTTCTACACATATGTGTGCGAAAGTGTTCATTTGGAACCAAAGTCAGGTATCTCTGCTGCCCCACATGTTTTGGTTGTCGTACTTGATCATTCTTTAAGGAGGCATTATGCGACAACAGTATGCAAAAATAATTTCAAAAATGAACCCCTTGAATACCTTCAAGAAAATGAATACTGAATCTATACAAACAGTTGAAGTAATGTCCAAAAAAAGTTTAAGCATCAGAATCTTTCCGACTGGTGAAACATTCGTGACGGTGTCTCGAATTTATTTCAAGCATTCATCATTGTAGAGCAAACCACTACCAGATACTTATCCTGGACTCCTTTTTTAGGGACTCCATTAAATTCTGGCTACGATGGCAATTTCAAAAACAAAGTGGCAAATGTTGGGGGACAAGTTGAGGGAAGCATGCAAAATGAAAGTTAAAAACAGTAGAATAATGAGATGTCCGTGGATAGAGGAGAGTGAACAACTTGTGTGGTCATTAAAAATGCCACATTTCTGGTCACGAAAAAACTATCACGCATCCTGAAAGAAGCGCAGTGGTGAAATGCTAAGATACAAGCTACGTTGAGAATTGTGAAAGAGCTATCCATAAATTACAAGTAACAAAAATATTTAAGGACATAATAAAGCGACTCATGGACAAAGGTAGAGCAAAATAACAGGCAAGCTATCTTTGCACAAAAATCGCAGTTTAGGAAAAAGCATAAGGAACGAAACCGCAAAAGAATTTACGGTTGAAAAAATCTCTGTCCATGACGAAGACATTTTTAAGCATCTTTAGATGAGCAACAGTCCGGAGAGAATCAGAAATGATACACGAAGTCAAAGATCCATCGAGAGAATTTAGTCGGATAAAACAGGAGTACTTTAGTGGAATGAAAAACAGAAAAGCACCAGGCCCAGACCAAGAATCATAGAAGCAAGAAAGGTAGAGGTAAGGGACATGAAGTCATTGTTTGGTTCTGATCAATACTCGCAAAGTCATGGAGAAAGAGTGTTGATGCCGCTATTCAAAATTAACGTGCATGTTCACTTGTGAGACCTGTTAAATTAAATTAATTAAATGGCACTGTCTTGATAAGAAATTGGTTGAAAGGGTGGGAAACAGATCGATAGTACCGAAACGAAATTTGCCGGTCAAAAACGATAACCTTACCTGCATAAAATTAGTCCTAGAACGAAGCAGCAACTTTCATATGGTCGTTTTGGAATTGCAAATAAAACAACATAATAGATAAAGAACAAATGAAATTTAAATTTTAAATTTATGTTTACACCTACTCCTAATATTCAGTCAGCTGTCAAGTTGGTCAAGGCGAATAGTAGCCGTAAACGTGGTCGCATGAATCGCACGCTTTGAAGTGACTACACGAAAGCATCATGCTGTCCTTATAATTCGCAAGTCGACAGCTTGTCATATCCGCTCTTCGACTGGTTGCACTGAAGCACAGGGAGGTGAATTTCTTACCCAAAGGAATAAGCACTTTAAAAGAGAAAATTTACGCCGCCCTTAAGATTGTTGCCCAACGTTTCTAAAGTAGAAGGTTAACTATTAGTCCATTGCTTCATTACCTTCCAAAAACGGTGTCCAGCAAGAGAAACTAGGAGTTTATCTATGCCGTTTCTGTTTTCTTTGGAATTGGGGGGGGGGCGGCA